GGTAATCACATAGGACACGAATACCGTGAAACAAAGAAATACTCGACTCTCTACATCCTAAGATCTTAAAACAGAAATGCTGTGCTTGGCCAGTATTTGTTTCAACGAAAAACAACAAACTTACACCCAATAAGGTTGTTCCCGAGCTATCGTACACATCGATGCACCATAACAGAATAAAGCCAACGGGGTGAATGACAGCTTTCTCGAACAACAGTAACCCATTTGTTGCATGACTTGATCCATTTCCGTCACGAACATTTCGCTCAACTAAACAAATGAAATTAAATGCATGCTTTCTTACTTCAGTGAACACCATACCAGCTAAATCGATAGATCACGTTATCAGCTTCATAAAAAAACTGAGTTTTTACAAGAGCATAATGAGAATCCCTATGAGCCCCTAAGCCTTTAACTGTCGAAGTCAGAAACGAGAGCGCAGCATCATCAAGTTATTACATGGCAGCATCAGAGCCGAGTGCGCGTCTTTTTCTTAAATATCCCATTCCATTGCAAAATTTAAAATCCCATTGCGCAACAACGTCACGCAAATCATCTAGTAAATCTTTGATTATGGTAACGTTTCTGGATTAATTCACACTTGAAGAAAAGCAAAAAATGCTAGCGTACAAAAACACTTACCTTTGTACAATATTTGTACACTTTACTATTCTTGCGATTGTACATCCATGCGTTATCAAACATTAACCACATATCATCACAGAACTCCCATGGATTCTTGTACCGACCGTTATCTAACTTCATACAAATTGTCGACAAATCCATGGGATGTTTTATTATTTCGTTATAGTCCTGTAACTGAGCAAAATCACTTCCAGTCTGAAAAAATAAGTGCTAAAGGCACGTCACACTGAAACTCACCGGAATGTGTAGTAAGTCCGGATCGACTGGCATACGGAAGGGTACAGCATCCTCGGAACAATCCATCTTTTCCCAAACAGGTCGTAAATAATGTCTGAAACGATTATCCATGAACTTGACAGGGGAAGCAACAAATCATGGGCTTATCAATGTAAAGAGCAGTGCTTCATTCCGTTTCCTTCAAAGCGCGAGATTCGCACGACATCTGTTTGAAATATTTCTGCAACGCAATGCGCTGTAGGATCAAAGCTTCAAGCAGGACTCACCGCAACTCGTTTGCATCAAAGATTGTATCCTCTCCGGGAGGTGGCGTAGGCTCCCTCTTCACGATTTCTTTCTTAGGAGATGAAGTGGACTCTGTTTTTATAGCCGGAGTGGCCTTTGTTGAAGTAGTTGGAACAGCTACCGTAGTGCCCGTAGACGGACCCGGAGCAGCTAAACAGTCAATTGTAAGTGAAAAGCACAAATGCGTCCCGCAGCTACATTGGCATCTTGTCGATGAGATCGGCATAAAATGTTTGGCAGAAATATTCGTCTTTACTTCACAACCTCGAAGAAAACCATACTCCGCAAATCCTGGACCAACCT